TGATGTTAATGAATTATTATTTATTATTTTATAGATAAATTTTTTATTATTTTAATAGATAGGTTAAAATAAAGTTAAAATATTACATTTTTGTTATAAAAAATTTATAATTTTGTAATGTTTTTTTATAATAAAAAGGCAAATGCAACAATAAAAAATTAATTCCAAATATTTCTTATTTAATTGATATTACAGGACCTCAGACATCTATTATAGAATTCATAATGGCTTTTTGCAAAAATTAACCTAATCTGCTCTTTTTTTTTTATTATTTCTTGCAAAAAATATTTTTATTTTATAGAGCTTAATATTAGTTACAAATTAAAAAAAAGTTTATCAAAATTGGATCACTGGATATTGAGAAAATCGCAAAAAACTAATTTGAAAAAGGACCGTAATACTAGAGCTGTAATTCTGGCCGGAATTATATGATCGGCATAAAAATATCCTTTTTAGGAATGCTTGTGAAACCAAATCTCTCATTTTTTGTGGGAAGAAAAATTTCCTTTTTTGGAATTTTGTGTAACATCACGTGATAGATAGACCAATGGGAGTAAGGTTACACAATATACATGTATAAGATTAATGGGATATGGGATTGGAATGGGATTGGGATTTGGGATTGGAATGGGATTATGACAAATGGGATGGGATAAATGGGATATGGGATGGGATATGGGTGGGATGGGATATGGGATTCTCCCAATCCCATTTATATGGGCGGCAAGTATAAACTCAGTTCTCAGGGACAAATTTATCCTGAACCGGGGTCCAGGTTCTTTATCCTAAACCCCTATATAAATAAGTTTTTTCAGAGTAATCGTCACGTGATTAATACAGTTGCGGTCTAGGATAAGAACCTGAACCCCGGTCTATTTTAAGGACACTCGTGAACTCAGTTCACAAACAAATCACATGTTACTACGCCACATATCCGTTGATATTCTTCACGAAAAAAAAAATGATTTACACAAGCACAGATTTTATTTGACAAAAGGTTACGAGAATAATTTTATTTTTATTTTTATTTTATTTTTATTTTTAAAATATAGACACGACTGAAGTATAACGTTACATAAGGATAAACATAAACTAAAGGCCTAATTAATCCTAAATTAATGATAAAACCCAACCTCTCGGGAGGAGCCTGAAGAAGTTGTCCTGCCTGATTATTTAAAAGAACAACCCAGACATAACCTAAGTCGTGAAAGGTTCTAACAGCCAAAAAAAAAGAAAATGACCCGTATTTTTCTTTCAACTCATTCGAGTTGCTGCCTGTAAATACTGTCATAGGCAGAATGGTTCACACTATTTTTAATTGTTCAAAATAATAAAAAAGGAAAAAAGTAGAATATGCATCTGAGATGCTAAATACGGACAATTTAAATGATGTTAATAACCCAATTACAAAATTAAGAAAAATCTATACTACTATGGGTCAATGAATAATAAAACTAGTAGAATAGTAAAAAAATAATAATAAAAAAAAACAAAAATTTCATAAATGCCCTCCACCAGGAAGGCACCCTATTGAAAGAGATCGGGAATGTGAATAATTGGAATGTTGGCGGTAATTCGTCCAACGAGGAGGCGGCGGTTTCGTAACCCTCCGATAAGGAGGCGATATCGCTAAATGCGTCAGGCATGATCGCAGTATCATAATCTAAAGCAGTATTCGATGCTTTGAGTCCCTTTGATGTGGAGTCTTTTGTATTAAAAAGGTCAGGTATGTAAGTTATAGGAATGTTGTGGTTGTAAGTTGAACCAGGTATCATTGGTGCAACTTCCTCTTTAGAATCCTCCAAAATAGGAGTACTTGATTCAAAAAGGTTCGGTAAATGAGTGATAGGAATATGAGAGAATTCTTTAACTTCAGCATCCTCCGAAGTAAAACTATTTATTTTAAAGCCTTCAGGTATGTACAGTAAGTGCTGGCAGTGCTTATGGACGAACGCGCGGATTCGTAACCATCTGATGACGAGATGTCTGCGTAAAAATCTGGAGTTGAGACACATGTCTCAGACGCTATAGGTGGGTGTTGCGTGGATGAAGCGATACGTGCTTCACGTTGGCGCGCCAAGACAGTACGCCGTAGGTCATGTTTTTTCATAAATTTATAGTAATCAGTAAATTGACGAGCTAACTTGTCCGTAAAAGAATCGAACGCGTCGGCTGAAAAGGTTGTTGAAGGAGGGGGTGCCTTACGAAACTTCTTGGGAGGCGGTACCACAAATTTAGAAAATGAAGCGTATTTTAACGGTGAATTATCAGCTGAGCTAGTTGAACCGGCAGTATGTTTAGTACTATGAACCGGAATTGGAAAAGAATATTTTTCTAATTGTGGCAAACTGATCGCTGATGACAAATTGATATTTCAGAACGACCAAAAACAGAATAGAATCGTTAGTTAGAATATATCGTTTAGTTTTCGATAATGTCATACTGTACAGGGCTACTGGATATTCGAGGAAAAAATCCTACCCCTTTAAAAAAACGTATATGTTCATTACCCATTACGGATCCTTCTCTGCCCTGGTGAAACGCACGTAGTTCATCATCTATGGCTAGTTGATGTTATTCACTAGTCCAAAAAATAATAATACAGTTCCACATATCATTCTTTTGTTCCTTGCATATGTTACATGGATAGATATATATCGCTTAAATTTTTACTCCGAAAATTGTATAAATAGACAGAACCGATAATATTCTTGACACTTTGGCTGAAAACTACGCCACAAAAATTATTACAAATTTATGCATCACGTGCATCACAGGAATACAAACGCCAATAGTTATACCTCGAACATCACCACACTAATATATTATTGGATGTCAGGAAAATCCATTATTATGGTCCTGTACACTTCATTTCGATCACACCATTCTTCTAGGTCATTTGATGCCGAAGCTTTACCTAAATAGAAATGAGAACTATAATTTTCTTTTATATATTTCCTTAACACTTTGAACTTTTTATCCTCATCTCATAATCGCATTCGGAGTCTTCCAAATATCCCAAAGAGTCATTGTCCTTATCCATGCTATTATTTGGTAAAGCAGGTTTCCCAGACGAGGTCGAGTTGTTTTTCAAACACTCAAATCTGCCAAACTAAAATCAATAGAGCAACCAATAAAGGGGAATGATGAGTACATACGACACCAATATCTCTTATCCGTTGATTTCATTTTAATATGTTTTGCTTTTATGTATTCAAATCTGATAGTATGTGGATATCTATTATGTAGACTAAGCATTGTTTTAACAGAGACTGGTAGAAATAACCTTTATGGTACGAAACTATTATTATCGTTATCAATTTAGGAATTCTTATGCCTATAAACTTGTATAATCAGAGGGGCGCTATGTCTACGTTAATATGTACAATCTCGTAAACCTAATGGATTCCTAATTTTTCATACTCCGTCAATGACACAGATTGCGAAGCAACGCCCTCCAGGCATTTAAGATATGGGAAAAATGAGATTAACTAATTATATTACTTATTGTGTTCGATGAGTGCATTAGTGGAATACACAAATAAGAAGAGACCCCTATGACACATGATTACATTTTCTTGTAAATTCCACGAATACCAATGTTTTTGGACGACCTAAAGTCATCAAAGTAAAGCCCTCTCCTCGTACACAAAAGAAAAAGAATGTTCATATATTTTTAGTCATGATATTATCACAGACTCATTGTAATATATTGGTATTTTTACATATTCGGATAAGTTTGATCAAAGGTGAACGGGATCGAGATCCAGTATTGGCCAACTCTTGCGTAACAAAATAATGTAATGAAATTATACTCTTCAGGAATAATACAAACTCAAATTCCAACAAAGATACTTCCAATCACACCCTTAAAAAACAGAAATCATTGAAAGCAATTATTTATGAATATTTCTACAAGTTATCATAGATGTATGAGAAAAAAGATGATTAAAATATGATCATCTAAAAAGAAAATCTTCACAACGACAGTATTAAATACCTTATTCCATATTGCGCCATATTTACTTTATATTGATGTGTTACTTTCAATAAGTTATCAGACTAACGGTAAGGTTGATTAGTTTGTTTTCTTATATAAACGGATAAGAAATCACTACAAGTCTACTCACCATTCTGCTTTTTTATATTAGCCTAGAGTTAACAATTCTAGTGACTAAAATATTCCAAATAAAAAAAAGAAATAAAGTTAAGAACAGAGCTGAGTGATGGGGAATCCCTTGCAACTTCTTTTTGTGTATGTCTGGTTAGGAACATGCAGTACACTTGGAGTATATTATAATATGGATGTTTTCCCAACATCTACCGCAGGATACTTCTTCAACAGTTCTTACAGCGGCCTTGACACAATGAAAATACCTTTTGGTCTAGCGAAATCTGCGAATCTAGTTGCGACTTGCGACCATTCCAGCATACAATATACATCCAATTACCCCACTTGAAATTCATACTAGCGTTTCCCTCTTGCTACCTTTTTCATGTTATTCTTATCGAGTTCCAAAACAATAAGAGAATACGTTTTATATTTTTTAACTCTTCACGAAATGTTCGTTCCAACACTAGAAGTAGAAATAAAGTGATTGGTTGCACATGACCAAAAATAAGGGTGGCTTATATTATAACCCCTAGTTACGTCAACAATAAAGAATCAAAGACTACATTGTAAAAATGATTTTTATAATGATCGTTTGCTGAGCGTTTATGATAAACAAATAATTAATTAATGTGGCTGAGATCATGATGAACCAATCAAATTCGGGGTCTAGGATATTATCCTGAGGTTAAGGTTCCCCCTTAAAAGAGAAATGACAAATACTGATGCAAAATTGGATCAACTTAAAATATCATATAGGAGTTGATCCATAGTTAATAATATTAAGGATACAATTACGAATTTATTTTTAGAAATAGTTTTACAATTGATGCGAAATCGGATCACATTATCATTATAATTTATAATACTAAGCATTATAATTTTTTTAGATACAAAATATTTTGTATTTCTACAAGGAAATATTTCAAAATGTTTCACAATTTAAAAAGAAAGTTTGACAAGAAATTTAAAATTCCAAAATTACCAAAAGGTTCTATTAGATTTGACGAGTGAGTAAGGCATCACACAAGTTATTTCAAGTTTAACTCAATGTTAACTTCCACATTTGCAGTTTACCAATCAGTATCGGTCAAAATATATCGGTAAAAAACTACCACCATTTTCTTGATAGTAACGAATCGTCCGGATACAAGTTTGAATATAATAATGGTAAAGTATCTATTGTTTATATGAGCTCAAGAGAACTTGCTGCTACTGTCTCACTATTGCAGAGATATTTTAACCTTCCTAATGGAGATATTATCTGGTATCCAACAATAGACGTTTGTGGAGATGCATGTAAGTGAATTCTAAACTTGCTTGATCTGACTTGTAATTAATTTCCTAATAATTTATGTTTTTATAGTCCATTTTTCACCAGCTGGAAATGGGGTTAAAATAGCAGCGGACGTAGTGGTGTACCCGGCTAAGTCATACGTTCCAGACCCACCCATTCCTGGTCTTGGACCACCCCATGTTATACACGTGTACTTTGAAATTTTATGTATATTATTATATCTTTTTTATACAATTTTCTAAGATTTATAATTTTGTAGGGGAATTCTCATGCTAGAATAATTTGTGAGGTTGCAGTTGGCCAAAATGTTGCTAATTAGAAGAATAAATGTTCACTCTGGATGACTCAACCGTATGTTAGATGTGTTTTAGGCATAAAGCTATATGAATTACATACAACACGAGATCCACAGAGAAGATTTAATCAAAGAATGAAGGTATATATCTTTAACTGATTATTATTTTATAATTTTATCTAAAAAACTTTGTGATTTGATAAATATTAGGCTAAGTTTTGGAGACAGGGGATGGCATCTCAGAAAGTAAGTTTAAACTGTTTAGATCTTGCAGATTTCTATTTTCTAATGTTTCAATGTTTCTTAAATAATAGTGGGAATTTGGAACTGTACAAAAACGTAGCAATAATCCTACCGGATGTATTGCTTTAGGCAATCCTGCATATCAAGTCACTATTCTAATAAGTAACTTATTTTACGATCCACAAATACCAGGAGTATATACTCTACCGATTACATGTCCTCGTCCTGCATTTATGTATGGTTATTATACCATTGATCTTTACCACATCCAGCAAAGAGTTTTAGAGTTTCAGGAACAATGAACATAAGGTTGTTTTAGACGTAATTTCTTTTTCCTTGATGTAATACAAACAGTTAATCTACATTTTTATTGTTGAAAATAAACGAAAAAAATAAATTTGCTGTTGGAATAATATAGTCTTTCGTGAGATGAAATGATCTTATAGTTTGTCACTTTCTGGTTAAAATGCACTTCTTTGACACGTGTCTTGACGGAACATTGATTGCAAAAAATAAATATATATAGGATGCCCACAGCAAAAGGGGGGATGGTCAAATTTGAAATTATATCTACAGTATTGGTCTAATTTTAGTAAAAATGATTTTAATTTTGAAATTTTCTTGTTATTTGTATTTTACTTTTATAGCATTAACAAACAATATAAATTTATTAAAAGAAAACTGATATTCTTAATAAATTGCCTGTAAAATTTAGTTTTAGATAAATAAAAAGTCCGAAAACAAACTTTTCTCAACAATTAAGTGATGATCTGCAAAATCGATCCCATGATTTAAATTGCGATTTTTTCTTGTTGCAATGTTGCAATATACACGTGGCCGAGATTTTCCGAAAATGTGGCCGAATCTGAAAGTCTGAAATCACGAGACGAAATTCTAGCCGAAATTTATTTTGTAATTCTGGCAAATTTTGTAGTGCCGGCCAGAATTACTGTCACGTGACATAGGATTACACAAGGTCGGCCACAAGATGTAGATCTGTATGGAACGCGTGTTATAAATTTTGCATATCCTACATATAAAGGTATCCATATAGGCATATACTACATGTTATCGTAACATCCTGCAAAACATCTATTTCTTAACGTTCCATATTCAACCCTGAATGTAACACTTGTCATATTGTAATGTAAATTCTCCGTTGTCCATTCATGTTCTTCTCCGCAGTCGATTCACATAATTCACATAGTATTTAATATTCTGTCACAAAACACTCACAAAACCATCATCATATAACATTTATTTTTAATACTTATACCAAGATTATATTTAATAATTTATGTAAATATAAGAGAATTATTTAAATTACAAACTAAGAAATTTCTTGATACTCTAGTCTTAGTGTTTAAATAAATTCCAAAATAAAATGAGACATATAATTTGTAAAGTAATAAACAAACTAATTATAATTACTCATTAAAACTTTAATTTAATTATGAAGTGAAATCAATATAAAGTTATTATTATAAAAAAATATCTCATCTAACATCAATATCAATTTACGTTATTCAATCTGTTATTGCATTGTTCTATAATCATTTAATCATTTTGAATATCAATTATATTTAATAAAATGCTTGTACTAACAATATATTTACTTATCATATTTTGAATTTATATTCAGGGGTTTAAATACTTTAGATAAACCCTACATTAAGAAATAGATTAATACATCAAATAAATCAAATATATAAATAATAATGATTACCTTTTAATTTACTGCTTGTCTTAGATGTACTAGCATAATTTGAATTGGAATCATCAACTAAAATGAAGAAAACGAAAAAAATATTATTAACATACAGTATATCAACATACAATAAAATTTGACGAAATATTTTAACAAATACTTACAGTTATCAGGAATATTTAAATCATATACTATAAAAGGCTGTTATAAATAAGTAATATTTTAAGTTATAAAAATTTATTAATAGATCAATTTTAAATAAACCTATTAAATTTGCGTTACCTTCTTAAAAATTTGTTTTTTTCACGTTTAGGTTTAATTTTTTTTTTTTTTATTAAATAATCCCATTGTTTTGGTCTTTTAAGACAAATTTTTTTATATTATTTTTTTTTTCGTTCTGTCAATTTTTTTTATTATTAAATAAAAAATAAAATATTATAATAATATATTTACAAATCAATATAACATATAAATTGACCGACGTGATAGAAAGATGGGTAAGATTTTTTCAATTAAATTGAACGCTGGATAAATAGTTTGAAATTGTTGATTTAATAGATTATTATAACCAAATCCATATCCGAATTCCGAAATTCTCTAAATAATCACCAGATTTTTGAATAAAGATTTTAATTCAAATGGTTTAGTTAAATTAAGTACCAAAAGAATAATAATACTGCAAATGAAATGAATAGATTCTAATACATTTAATTATTCAAATATTTTTCCTAAGTTGATTATAAGTTTAAGATTGATGTAATATAAAATAAGAAATAATTATAAAAATTTATAATTAATTAATGAAAATATTTGTAGTGTTTTCATAATTTTAAAGTTTTTTCGAAAATATTTCTAAAAAAATTAATCAAAAAATGAGGGTGAATGAAAAAATAGGGACGAAAATGATCAAGTGGGAACTAATGAAAAAAATGAAAAGAATGGAGGGGGACGAAATAGAGCAAAGGGGAATAAAAAATGAAAGGATCAAAGGGTAGTGTAAAAAAGGAACGAAGGGTAGTGTAAAGGAACGAAACGAAAGGAACGAAGAGGAAATAAAAATAATAGAAAAAATGAAGTAAGGGAAGAATAAAAAGAGCAAAAGAAATGAAGAGACAAAAAGAAAACAAAAAAATGGAGAAGGGACGAAAATGAGATAAACAGGGGAACCAAGTAAAAACCAAACCCATAAAATTAAAAGAAGAAATAAAGTTAGTA